AAGAAATAAAATGAAGATTTGCATATTATTTAATCAAATAAAGTTTATGCATCAAAAATGAAATAAATATGCAAAATAAAAGAAAATTGAATTGCATTCATATTTTATTTATTAAATTACATGCTTTAAAAAAAATTTAATGAAAACCAACTCCAAGCCTAAATTGTCTTACTTTAGCAATATAACTTCTGCAATATATTACAAATGACAAATTATTATATCCTCCATCTTCAACAACTAATGATTAGAAAGTTTTATTTAATGGACTGTCAACTTCATCATTCATTTTAAGTTTTTTTTATTTTTTCACAAGTAGTTCTTTTGCCTTGTTACACCTAAAGAAACATGACTTTCTTCAACTAAGTCTGTGTTTATGCTCCAAATAAACTTCAAAGATCATAAAACTTCCTTTGTTAATTACTCACCTTAGTATTAATCTTAAGCTTGCATCTAATTTATATGGTGGCTTTAGATTGAAACTATTTCTTCCATTGGTTCTCCTCTTACCAAATTTAAAATAATTGAGTGAATCATAGCTTTGTTGGTCATCATCCCCTTTCTTCACACTTTGTTCTTAAGTATATAAAATTCTTTTTGTTTAGTATAATTATTAAATGGTTAAATGTCAATTTTAGTCCCTTAACTTTAGGGTTTTACACAATTTTCATCCCTAAACTATTTTAAAAACTTTTTATGTCCCTTAACTCTAAGAGAGGCACTTTTGTCATCCTTTGTCAGTTAATTGATTAAATTGATCCATGTATGCTTATTTTTCAAAGTTGTTAATACTGTACCGACATGAATATCTATTTTGTTATTGTTATAGCATATAAAGTTTATCAGAAGACATCATATATCATTTTGGATTTACCATAATAAATATATTTTACTTTTATATAAATGATTAAACTAACACAATTTTATTCAAAATTAATATGTTCCTTATTAATCTCCTTGTCTAACTTCTTACATTTTGTATAATATTTATCTCTTAAAAATCTCATCTTACACTTAAATCACTTTTCTTTCTTTTAACCACAACCACTTTTTTTTTTTCTTTACCTTTCTTCAACTCTTAACCATTTCAATCAAATTTATTGTTAATTTTTACTCTCTCTTGCAAAACATGTTTTTCCTCCATCATTTCTCAAATATCAGCTAACCATTGCATTTTCTTTGTCTTCCTTAACACTTCTAACCTAACCATCTCTTCAAGAGAAAGACTTTTAAGTCAATAGTATCAATAATTATTTTAGCAGTCATGGAAAAGATCCTATATTTACAACCTAACCTTTGTCTTTTCTGCCTTTTGTTTTTTACCATCAATAGTGTCACTTTTTTCCATCTTTTTATATTATCTTTGCTAATTTTTGTTTCACTATAAAACTAATGAAGCTTAAAGGAAGAGTTGTAGTGAGATAAGTTTCAATTGTGGATAAATTGCCCCAAAAAGTCAACAAAAAAAGACAATTTTGCTTCTTTTTTCCCTTAATTTAAGAAAAGGCAAAAATTGTACCAATTAAATTTTAAAATATTGGCCAGTATGCGAAATACTAGTTGATACATCAAAATTTGACTGATATGTTTGAAATTTGACCAAATTCAAATTTTCTCTAGTACTATTTTGAACACATCATAAAACCAGTATCAAACAGTATTAACAACCCTAATATTTTTATAGTCTTTAAGCTTATAAGTTTAGGGACTAAAAATGTGTATATTAAGTTTATGGACTAAAAATGTGTATATTTAGATAAATTTAATGAACTAACTGACGAAAAGACAAAAAATATGCTTTCTTCAAAGTTGAAGAACAAAAACAATGCAAAAGAAAAAGTTGAGTGACAAAACCTATCCAAAACTCTAAAGTTGAGGAACTAAAATTGGCATTTAACCTTTTTGAAAAAAATCATGGAGCTCATTTTCAAAGTTAAAAGTCATATTGAAACATAGGGCATGAGGAGTTGGAATTTCTCCTTACTTTTCATGGCCTTCCATTATCCTCATTCAATTTGGAGAGATTAAGTTTTTTGTTTCTCTTTCCTACAAACAGAAATTAGAAAAGAAAACTGTTCATGTTGTCAATACTTGACTTGTGTTTGAATCTCAATGAAAAACAAATCAAACAAACATAAACCCAATAAAAATTAAAATTTACATAGAAACCAAACAGTCCCCATAGAAATCAAAGATAAACTGAACAAAAAAAAAAAAAAACATAATCATTAAGAAACTAATCAAATTTGGCTTATGTTCAAACTAAGAGAAAGAAATATAAAACTCTAGATCTTTGAATTGGTGAGGTCGTAAATTAACCAATAAGGAGCGCTAGAATCAATTACAACTAAATAGAAAACACAAGCATGAATGTGAACACAAGAATAAAAATAGAGGAAATGGTTGTAGAGTGTTTGTTTAAGGAGTGGAACTTAACTAGTTGGAGCCGGTGTCAATGAAGTTGATAAAGTTGTAGTGTTTTCTAAATTAACATGTGGGGAGGGAACATAGGAATAAATAAGAGAAAGGGAACAATTGAAGCATGAATAGGGACAAATGCAAAACCCTTTTAAAATTAAAAAAAAAAATCTTCTTTTTAATTGTGAAAAATCCATATTAATAAAAGTTTACAATTTAATTAGTAACGTGAATTGTTGCTACTTATCTCATTTTCTTGAGGGTATTTATTAATGTTCTTTAAAAATGAGAAGTGAGACAATTAAATAAAAACACCTTTAGTTTTTTTAGATAAAAACATGGTAAGACAATTAAATAACTACAAAAGCCAATTTTAAGCCCTTGAAATTTTCCCATATGTTTGTGTAGGCCCTTAAACAAATTTTTAAACAAATAAGCCCTTAAACTAATTGATCAAAATGTGGTTGTCATTAGTCTTTGTTGACTTGGCTTATAAAAATAATTAATTTCAATTTCATCCACAGACTTTTCAAATTTTTAAGAGAATCAACACTTAAATTTTAACTGATTACTATGTACAAAAAGAAAAAAACATTAAAGTTATTCCTAAAGTTGCAACCAATGTCTGAAGTGAAGGAGAAAGGTTACTTATTGCTTTGGTGGTTTTAAGAGCACTCTTAAGACATTGAAACAAGGTCTCCCACAAATTTTGGGTACACCTTCCTATGTTACGAACAACATTAAAGGCATGCAACCTAAAACCATAAGAATTGCACCCCAGAACACATGAAAATTGTTTAACCCATATGTCAAAATTGGTCAAAATGGTCTTTGAAAATCTTCCCATAAAAGAGTTACTTGATTTAAGCTTCTCTACCACCTTGAAGAATGTAATTTGACTATGTTACTTTGATTTGCCTTTGTGGTGGTGTGAATTGGATGAACATGTAGGAAATGAACATATTAATAAGAGAAGAAATCTAGAGGAAATACTATAATATGACCTAATGAAGTAAAATTACCAATTCCAAAGCTAAAAGGGTGGCCAAGATGGATGGAAAAATGTTCAACTCTTCAATGCTAAAATGAGACTTCCATGATTGAGTTAAGTTGTTGAAGTCTAAGGAAGTTGATGCAATGAATGTCTTGTCTACTTCTTTAATGAGATTTAATTATCATTAATTCTTCTACATGAATCATGGATTCTAGGGTTCATGGGTTCTTTTCTTGTTTGCTTTCCATCTCGGACTTTACTGACAACAATTTCACTTCATTGTTGCTATTCAAAAAGAAAAGTTTTATGGTAGCAAGGTCTCTCAACAATTTTAAATAACACAAATTTTGGAAATACCTTTACGCTTTTTTATCTATTTAATTCAATTTTTAGTCTATTAACTATCAACTTAATTTCATTTTAGTCTAGAAAGTTTATTTTCTTTCTAAATGGTCTATAAACATTAGAGAATATTTCAAAATAGTCTACTTTACAAAATTTTATTAGATTTAATGGAAATAGTAAGTTTTGAAAAAGTGACTATAATCCTAATAAAATATGATGACTCAAGAAATATTTTATAGAGATAAATTAATTAGAATTTATAATAAACTTGAGCGACTAGCTCAATTCAAATAGAGAAACTTAGTAAGTTTAAAACGAGAAGTCTTAAAAGTAAATCTATTTTACAAGGTAGATGGTATGCAGCCTATTTTGTAAAATTATGTAAATATCTCTAAAAAAATAATATAAAAATAAAATTAAGGGCATTTAAATAATTTTACAAGATGAATTACATACAATCTGCGCTGTAAAACAATTTTCTGAAGAACACATTTAGCAAGATAATAATAAAAACTATTTTTACTATGAATATAAATTTAAAGACTAAAAGATCAAAAGAAATATAATGAGCAGACTAAGTATTTTCTTTTAGAATAAGAAGATTCGTTAAAGATAACGAACATTTCCATTAAAGATAACGAATTAGATGAAATTGAAATAAATGTAAAAGATAATAGACAAGATTTGAAGAATTCAAAAATAATAGATGAAACTGAAAAGAATATGAAAGCTAATAGATGATTTGTTAAATTAACCCCTTTTTTATCTACTAGAAATACATCTAAGTGTTATGGACTACAATCAAAATTTTGAAGGGGCTTTGTTGAAGTGAAGTAGAAAGAGCTATAGAAAATAAACCTTTTGAGTTTTTTTGGTACCCAATAACTTTGTTAAAGTTTACATATTAATTACCTTTAAAATTTGAAACATTTGTAGACTTAATTGAAATTAATCATTTTTTACAAGATAGGTCAACAAAGGCTAATGACAAATCATGCCACATTACCTAAATTAACAAAGACAAAAGGTAGTTATTAGTTGTGGGGCTAATTTACTTTGATCGATCAATTTAGGCTTTAGGGGCTTATCTGCTTAAAAATTAATTCAGGAGCCTACATGTGAATATCGGCAAAGTCCAAGGACTTAACAATAGGTTTTGCTTTCAATGAAAATGGAGGGAGTAATATTTTACAGGACGGACTGAGAAAACAATTTCTAATAAATAAAAGCCATAAAGCCTTGCGTTAGAATATGAATGAGGAAATCTATACTCATTTGCTCTCACGTAATAAACCCTCGCCTCCCTTCTCCTACTTCACCGGTGGCGGCTAGGGTTTGCAGCCTCCGCACTCTCTCGTCTTCTTCGATCGCCAGAGCGGCAACCATGCCAGGAGTTGATCCACAGGAAACGGAGTGGCCGGCAAAGATAGTCAGGGATACTTTCATCAAGTTCTTTGAGGAAAAGGATCATGTCAATTGGAAGTCCAGTCCGGTTGTTCCTCTCAATGACCCTACTCTTTTGTTCGCTAATGCCGGTATGCATTTCTGCTGCTTTTCTGTTTGTTTCCTGTGAAAGTTGTTGCTGGTGAATTAGACATTTTGATTTCATTTCTGTTTCTCAACTGCTTTATCGACTTGTATGCGATTGGAATTGGATTTAAGGATATCATGAAAATTTATTGAAATTACAATAATTCTATTCTGTATTCTCTTTATTCTAAATGTAATTGGTTTTTCTTGCTGGGATTGGAAAGGTATGAACCAGTTTAAGCCAATATTCTTGGGTACGGCTGATCCGAATACTTCCCTGAGCAAACTTACTCGGGCGTGCAACACCCAGAAGTGCATTCGAGCTGGTGGTAAGCATAATGATCTAGATGACGTAGGAAAGGATACCTACCATCATACCTTCTTTGAAATGCTCGGTAATTGGTCTTTTGGAGATTACTTTAAGAAGGAAGCTATTGAGTGGGCATGGGAGCTTCTCACCAAGGTAAGTGATTGCATATGTGTATTTTCGTTCACGTTTTTACCAGTTCCTTGTTTTCTTTTCACTCTATCCATTTGAATAATACAAATTCATTTATTCATGGGAACATCAAGAGTTGGTCGTGCAGTATCCTTTATTTATAATATTGAGTTTGGGATTTGAAGTAAGCTTAGCTAACCTTACATAGCCAGGAAATATCAAAAGCGGGGAATAAAAGGTTGAGTCTTCTTTTTAGAGTTGATATAGTTGGTTATCCGAGTATAAATAAGTTTTTTAGGACTTCACAATAAATATTCAATCACATATTCTTCTCAACGATGGTTCACTTCCAGATGGATTGTCATGAAATTCAGAAAATTCCAATTTTTAGTCACAGTGAGAAGATAAATAGCAGTTTCTCTTTTTTAGAAGTGGTGGTTCATTGAATTAATATGAGAACCATCAGAATTGATACGATTTGGTCTGTTTTTAGTCCATCATTTGGGTTCTGCTTTGAAGCCTTGTTATTATAATTTGATTGCAATCAGATGTCTCTATATGGAAGGCAATGCTTACCAGTCTTCTTGCTTTCTTCTAACACTTTTTTTTTCTTTTCTCTTGTTTTCTTGCTGCCCTATAGGTTTATAGGCTGCCTGCAGACCGGATTTATGCCACATACTTTGGTGGTGATGAGAGAGCTGGTCTTGCTCCTGATAGTGAAGCTCGAGATATATGGCTCAAGTTTCTACCACCTGGACGTGTGCTGCCATTTGGTTGTAAGGTATGGAGTTGTTGATTTCCCTTTTTTGATTAAATTTTCCAAGAAGTTTCCAAATTTATGGCAGCTTTTTTGTTTATAGTCCTTTTATTTTTCCTTTTGATATGCAATGATTATTGGCGGGGCATAAACACCTGGTGCCTCCAAGGACCAATGTCTCATTATCATTTTTATGCGTTTTTGATGATAAATGTGTCTCAATGCCTTCTTTTCTTGCTTTTATGATGATAAATGAAATTACTCTTTGAGAGCAAAACAGAAAAGGAATGGTTGTAATGCATTTATGCTATTATTCACCATAAAATTTGAAAATTACTGATGAAACGTAATAATTTGTTGTAATTAGAGTATTTTATGCGTCCTTTAGACTTTATTTATTAACAAGATAGCATGATGTGCCCAACTGCTAATAACAGTCTTTATCAATTAAAATTATAGATTGAAGAGTTCATGCACTTTAGGCTGCACCTTTATTCAAAGTATTCATGGTATGGTAGCTGCATTATGCCATTTCCATATATAACAAAAATTTTTTGGGCTGTTGATATCAAAGATATGCCATTAGATGATGTCCCCTCATACATTGAATATAATTGCCAGCCGATAGACTATTCTAATATTAAATACACAAGAAAAGTAGGAAATTCTGAAACATCTGATTGGTTTTACTGTTTTTTTCTAGGACAATTTCTGGGAGATGGGTGATACTGGTCCTTGTGGGCCTTGCACTGAAATACATTATGATCGAATTGGCAATCGTGATGCTGCATCATTGGTTAATAATGATGACCCTACTTGCATTGAAATATGGAACCTTGTTTTCATTCAGGTATGTAATGTGGTTATCCATTTTATTTAACTCTTTATAAGACCTGATAATATGAAGAGTTCCACTAATGAATTTGAAACTCTTTGGGATTCAAGACTTGTCCACAGTTTTGGTGTTGACAAACCATACATGGTATCTGCAAGTGGGACATCATGCTGGATAACATCATTATTAATCTGCTGCTGTATTGTGGTGCTTAACAATTTGTAGTAATGATGTGTTCTCTTACATTTAATTGCTGCAATGCAGTTTAACAGAGAAAATGATGGTTCCCTTAAACCTTTGCCAGCTAAGCATGTTGACACTGGCTTGGGTTTTGAACGATTGACTTCTGTACTTCAGAACAAGATGAGCAATTATGATACTGATGTTTTCCTGCCCATCTTTGGTGCTATCCAAGAGGTAAGGTTGATCTGAATGATTTTCCTTCTTTCCTTAGCAAAGTTTATGGATCTGTTTTAATTTACACTGGTAAATGCATGGAAGATTTTAAATTCCAGTGGTGCCAGTTGTTAACGTGCTGTGTGATAGATCCATATCAGTTTTTTGGAGGTGAATAATTGCGTTTTTTCCATGGTTCCATCCATTTCTCTTAAAAAAATTTTATCATCTAGTTTGCCAAATTGAAGAAGTAGAAAAACACTTGCGTATTAGCTCATTGTTTGACATTCATGTAACTTCACGTCTTGTGTAGATGAGTTTAAACATTTATGTCAAAATCATACTTATGGAATATAAAGATTTATTGTGGGTTTCATGTTTCTTTTGGCACTTCAGCATCTTTCTCTGCTAAATGGTGAGAGTTTATGCATGTTTGGTTTGTAGGATATTTTACTTTCATCTTGCTCACATGTTTCTTTGAATTGGTTTAACTTAAGATGGTTCTGTTACCAACTTTTGTATATGATTAACACTTGAATAAATCTAATTCTATTCGTCTAACTCTCTTTATAGGTGACAGGAGCTCGACCATATTCTGGAATGGTTGGGCCAGATGATATTGACAAAGTTGACATGGCATATAGGGTTGTTGCTGACCACATTAGAACTTTGTCAATTGCAATTGCTGATGGGGCCTGTCCAGGTAGATGTTTCGGACATTTTTATGTTTGCAGCTAATGCTGCAGTGTTCTCTTTATTTCTATTGGCATTTTTGTATTCAGTTGAATATCGTACTTTTCAGAAAAGATATCCTTTCCTCTGATGGTCTAAAAGGCTCTAAGGTTGTAATGTTTTCTTTCTTATGGACACTTAGTGGCATATATAGGGGATAGAAGAATGGATTAGCAATTTGAATTTTTATTTCAACTCCTAGAGAAAGATAAAAATTTTGTTTAGAAAGAGATAGGGTTTTCCAAATTGATGATTTTTGGTATTTATGTTCAAATTTCCACAAAGAGGGAGAATATTAAGGAGTTGCTAGTCATTGTAGGATGCTGCAGGGATAATATGATCCTAAAATACTCTGCTAGTTAAGAGGAGAGTTTTTAGTGAACATTTATGCTCTATGGTACCAAGTTTTTGGCATTCTTGAGCAAACATGTTCCCAGGATAATTGTAATTGAATGACTACTGTAAATGGGATTTGCAGTCATATTAGAAAAATAGGATATGAAATGAAGTCATTAATAAGCTCAGGGTAGCACCATTTGAGTAAAAAGTAAGAGGTGTATGACCTAATGGTTCAGTCATATGACTCATGAGATGTGGACCTTTTGGATACTCTGTGGGAAAATCTGATTTAGTTTATGTGCAAGGATGGAAGTGTTAAGGGAGGCAAAATTGGAATAATGATAATTGATAAATGACTTCAATCTTCATGTTGATTGACAAAATAGAGGAGAAATCCATCCGTAACCTATCCTGACTAACAAGAACACAGGTTTAATTAGGTTGTGTATGAATTTTCTTATAATTATTTACTTTTTTAGCTTTGCTATTTGCCTTTATGACGTCAAGACTTCTCTTAAAATTGTTTTCTTCTTCTTGTTGCCTACTAACACTTTCGTGTTGTGAGCTCCAAGGTTTTGTCCATCAAGTTGATTAAAACACCTCCCACAAGGCATTTGGAGTGTGGATTCTTATAAAAGTACTAGTTTTTGAAGTGATTAAGACTTTCAACCTGGTGTATTAGAATTTTTTTTTCTTATCTTCACAAGAGTACTATTTTCCTCTAGATTTTGTTTGATGTTTTCTCCTTCTTATGGAAGCTTATATTGATACCTTTTCGTCATATTTTTAATAACTATATAGGGATGTTCTAAAATTTAAGGGTGGAGTGAGTGATTGATGAATGTTAAAGAAGGAATTAGCTTTCTAAAAATTCAGGAAGGAATTGTCTTGCTGGATAAATATTAAATGTGATGGTGATTTTTGTTCTGTAGGCAATGATGGTCGTGAATATGTTCTAAGGCGTATTCTTCGGCGAGCTGTTCGTTATGGAAGTGAAGTCCTAAAAGCTCAGGAGGGATTTTTTAGCAGGTAGGAATAACTGATATGCTTCCATTGTTTTGTTTTTTGTATGATTATATCTCTAGAGATTTAATATGATTGTAGTTTGTGTCTTTGAAATGGTAGTGAGATTTTCTTATTTATGGAATTTAATGTTTATGATTTCTCTTTGAGCAATTATTATGCAGTTTCAAAAACTGAATTCCTTTTTGTGGACCTGTAATCCTGTTGTATGTTGTCTTTATTAATAGTAATACTTTGTAATTGTTGGGTTGGATCCAGGCTTGTGAGTGTTGTTGTGCAAGTGATGGGCGATGTTTTTCCAGAGTTGAAGCAGCATGAAGCACACATTACATCTACAATAGCTGCAGAAGAAGCAAGTTTTGGAAAGACTTTGCAGAAGGTAAGCACTTACTTTTCTTTGGAGGAGTTGTGGTTTAGTTTCTACAGAGGCCATCCATTTTATAACTTCCCAGGAGCAAACTGAATGAGCTTTAATTGCCAAAAAAAATTCAATTAGCTTGTTTGTCCAGTTCACCATCCTGATTTAAGTGCTCATTTCCATGGAAAACTGGGTTGATTAGGGCTTTAATAGGGAGTTTTGGATATGAGAACGTTTTAAGTCCACCTGAAACAATCAATCAGCATATTTAACCCAACATTCTTCTTTGCAGCTTCTAATTGATTGTGCTTGTGTTTTGAAATTACACCTCTTCATGTTTTGTGACTTTTTTTTGCAGAATTTAATGTTTTTATGACAATCATCACTGGTCTTCAACTCATTTTCAGGGAATTGAGAAATTCAAGAAGGCAGCTCAGGATGTTCAGGGAAAGTCATTAAGTGGGCTGGTAAGCACATTTCTGATTAATTTTTATTTAATGGGTGATCACATACGTTAATATCTGTGGAGCAATTCTTGATTCAAATTATGTAAACCCAAATGAAAACCATGAGTATAATTTCGGTTGTAAGATTGAAGCGAGGGCAGAGCTTCCATGTCATAATAAACTTTGGCCTTCATCAGTTATTTCTATCTCCTCTTTGTTGCAGGATGCATTTATCTTGTGGGACACATATGGGTTTCCCCTAGATTTAACTCAGGTACATAGGTGGTTTTGTTTCCTGTTATTTTTGGCTGTATGTTCTTCAACATGCTAATTTTTTTTTTTTTTTTTTTTTTAATCTTGTAGTTGATGGCAGAAGAAAGAGGTTTGGTTGTTGATGTTGAGGGTTTCAATAATGCCATGGATGAGGCAAGGGAAAAATCAAGGAGCGCACAGAATAAGGTGTTAGGAATTTGATTTGCTTATTTCATTGCTTGTCTTCTTGCAAATATGCTAAACTTTTCTTTTTCTCTTAGTTCATAAGTTAAACAAGAAGCTAGGTCTTGCAGGACACATATTAGTGATCTGGTTGAATTAGTTGATAATCAATCAGCCAGGTCTTCCTTGAATTAGCTGTTGTCCCTTTTATTGTATTTGAAGAGTATAAAGTTTCTTAAATTAAGGGATATGTTCCCCCAAGAAATTAAGTTACATGGATTGCCACCTTTCATTCTGACATTAACTTTTGGCAGCAAGCTGGTTGTGCTGTTGTTACAAGCATGCTAAAACTTTCTTTCATTTTTACTTAAAAGCAAGATGCTAGCTTCTTTAGATATAATCATAATAAATGAATTGGATCATTGTGAAATAGCATTGTGATTTTAATGTAGCATATAAATTTTTCAGTAATAAAAGTTATACGGATTTTCACCTTTCATACTAACATCATCTTTTTGGCAGCAAGCAAGTGGTACTATTGTCATGGATGCAGACGCTACCTCTGCATTGCACAAGAATGGTGTTTCTTCAACTGATGATTCCCTTAAATTTATTTGGTTCCAGGTTTGTCTTCATCTCTTTTATTGATACAATTGATTGTCTTGTGGTTATTATTGAGTTTGATTTATCTGATTTGTTAGTCAAGGATTGCAAAATATAGGTATTGTTGGGAAAAGTTTAATAAGGGTCACACCACCCATAATTTTGGTTATGAACCTTAAATCCTTTCAACAAAGTAACTAGAATTTGTTTTCTTCTTTTTTGATGGATGATTGAGGGCATTGCAACTAATTGTTTGCCCAGACAATCTAAAAACTTTGTTTCTGAAGTTATGTTATTGTTTGATGTTGTAACAATGTGCGTATGACATAAAAATTTTTCCTCTTTGATCTTTCCTAAGTCATTGTTAATATTGGTTTACTGGCCTCTTGGATATTTACTGTTAAAATAATGGTTTCTTGTGTCTTTGGTGCTTACAAGCAAGCAATACTTTTACAAATCTTTTTTTTTTTTTTTCCTTTTCTTTTCTGAGTCGTATTTCAATAGTTAATGTTTCTTTTTTTAAAATTTCAGTTAGAGAATTCTGGAAATTTTTTGTTAAAATGAGTATCTGAACTTTTGGCCTGAGAAAATGCTAGAAGATATCCTAAATTTGTCACCTTTTGGATAATTTGGTTGTTGTAACTTTCAGACCATTTTTTCTGTTTCAGGACCATCAAAGCACAATTAAGGCTATTTATACTGGTTCAGAGTTCCTGGAAAGTGCTAGTGCTGACAATGAGGTTGGCGTGGTTTTAGAATCTACAAATTTCTATGCTGAGCAAGGTGGTCAGGTACTATAACCTAGTGTTTTAATCCAGATTATCACCATGATGCATGCGTGCTTAATGTCATGGTACTCTAGCAATGAAGTTTGATGCATATACTATGCATGCATATGTTGCCCACTGTGATGCACATGCTATGCATTTATTTGGGTGTATGAGAATTATTCCCTGCTCTAGCAATATCTAGATTCTAAATTCTCATCAAAACTGTTCTCTTATGTTAGTCATGGCTAACTGAATTTATTTTTATGCTGCTTATAATATTTTTTTAGATTTACAATAATAATCAGGTAAACTTTCCAGGCAGGGAAAATTTGTTGAGGCCTGAAATTATAACTGAAGTAAATAATTTCATTTTAAAATTCTACATTTAACAAACTTAAATCATGTTCAATGCTTGACAGCAATTGAGTCTTTGAGGTGGGTGGAGGCTGTGTTTTTAATTGTTCAGGAGGTATGGCTTCCACCTTTAGTGAATGAGTGGGGTATTGTCAATCTTGTATGCCTATGATTCTTTCTTTTGGCAACTTGGATTTAAATATTTAATCTTGGAAATCTTAACCCACATATAGAAAGTAGGACAGTTGATGACTTAGCATCAATCATCTGGCTCTCTATTTTGTTTCTGTTTTTTCCCTAATATTTTTCCTTTTGGCAATAGATTTTTGATACAGGACTTCTTGAGGGGTCCTTTGGCTCATTCCAAGTTAGTGATGTTCAAATTTATGGAGGCTTTGTACTTCATATTGGTTCCCTTTCTGGGGTCTCAAGCAGATTCTCAGTCGGTGATAAAGTTATTTGCAAGGTGATTAAAACATTTTTTATTATTCTGTTTATGTTAATTATATTTTGAAAGCAAAAGAAATGTTAATTATGCTTCTTGTGAGATTTTTTTTACTAATCTTTTGAATTACTCAATCTGATTTTAGGTTGACTACGCTAGGCGTAAACTCATTGCTCCTAACCATACCTGCACGCATATGTTGAACTTTGCTCTCAGGGTACGGTTAGGTTGCTAATACTGATTTATTTATCTCCTTGATGTTATTATTTGCATTTCTTAATTTGTTTACCATGCTTCTTAGAATGCTCTTAGTATGAATGCAGGAAGTTCTAGGTGATCATGTTGACCAAAAGGGTTCCATTGTTCTTCCTGAGAAATTAAGATTTGATTTTTCCCACAGTAAGTAGGATTCAATTGTTATGGTTACTGTTCTGTGCAGTATGGTTGTAGATTTAATAGAAGAATTTGAGCAGGTGGGTCTGTCAAGCCTGAAGATTTGAGAAAAATTGAGTCAATAGTGAACAACCAAATAAAAGAAGAGTTGGATGTGTTTACCAAGGAGGCAACTCTTTCTGAAGCATTGCGTATCAATGGCTTGCGAGCAGTGTTCGGAGAAGTAATTTTTATCATTCTTTTTTTGTGATTAAGCCTTATACATATCTTGTGATATCTGGGCACTTTAATCTTTTGTACTTTGGTGCAGGTCTATCCAGATCCAGTTAGGGTAGTGGCAATCGGTCAAAAAGTGGAGGAACTTCTGGCTGATCCAGAAAATAAAGAATGGAAATCCATTTCAGCAGAACTATGTGGAGGTTGAATTATTGTTCCATTGCTTTTACCTTGAAGCTTTGATGGCCATTTTCTCTTGGAGCTAATTTTGAGGATACGTTTAGGTACACATCTATCAAATACACGAGAAGCTAAAGCCTTTGCTCTCTTATCTGAGGAGGGAATTGCAAATGGAGTTAGAAGGATAACGGCTGTGACGACTGATTGTGCCTTTGAGGCAATGAAATTGGCATCATTGCTTGAGCAGGAAGTAACTGAGGCATCCATGATGGAAGGAAGCTCACTGGAGAAGGTTGTTTTCACACTTTCTCTTGCTTCTTATGTATTATATTCCTGTCTTTCTATATGTCTAACCTTGATTTAGGTGTCTAATTTATGTGTACCTTTATTTTGTGTCTTTTATATTTGTGCCACTTTTGGTCTTTAACTTTGATTCATGTCTCTTTTTCTTTCTCCTCAAATGTAATTTCTGTTTCTTTTATATTTGTGCCACTTAATTTTGTGATTCCTGTTACTGAGAGATTATCATAACCATTTGGATTTTTTGTGTTTTATGTCAGAATGTTTCTATTCTATGCATGCCATTCTGTTATATCTTCCTATTCATCTAAAAAAATTCTGTTATGTCTTCCCTGTTTGTTGTTTTTGTAATATGTTTTAGAACATTGGAAATGTTAGTCTTACCTAGTCTGTTTTGATTTTGGCCAACTTATTAGCCAACTTATATCCAAAATTGGTTCTACATTATGGGTAATGTATGTGATTTGCAGACAAGTTTCATTTTGTATTTTTTAAGTTTATAATTGTTATCTGAGCTGTTATTTCTGTGTTAGGTTAGCATAATAGCATCTCAGGGCATGAGAAAATGGGACCAACCCTGACCTAATTGTTTATCATTTTAAGAAGCCTGTATTGTACCACTTTTTAGAGCTGTATACTGTTGTTAAGCATGCCATTCCTCCTTAGAATATCTTTTCTTGCACACTTAAGATTTTGAAAGTTTATTCTGCTTCTTATCAGAAAGTGGCTTCTCTGAAAAGTCGTGTGGATTCAGCAGCTATACCTGCTGCTAAGAAAACTGATATCAGGGCCAAGATTGCCATACTTCAGGTATTTCTACTATTGATTAATGATGGAAAACATGGTTTTCCAACTTTTGATTCACCTGTTTGTAAACCACCACCCTCTTGCTGCTAATATCTATCATGTCTCTGACAAACGTGCATTATTTTGTCAGAAACGATTAATAATGGAACAAAAGAAGATTGCTCAAGAGAATAAGCTGAAGGCTATCAAAATTGCAACTGAGGCAGCTGAAGCTGCTGTTTCAGATGGAAAGGCCTTCTCCATCTGCAAAGTTGATGTTGGGTCAGACGATCGCGCTGTTCGTGAAGCAGTAGTGAAAGTTACTGAGCAGAAGGTTGCTTGCAGTTTTTTTCCCTTTTTTTCTTTTCTTTTTTTCATTTTTCATTTTTCTTTTAGCTTTGTTGATTATTTACATCCCCCTACTTTCTCCCAATTTGATTTGATGCCATTTTGTGTTCTTTTCAAAATTTCATTTCTGTTGGATGAATGGACAGGGAATTCCAGTTATGGTTTTCAGTATAGATGAAATTACAAACAAGGCAATCGTCTGTGCGTGCGTGCCAGAAAAATCAGAGATGAGCAAGCAGTTGGAGGTGTCAGAATGGTTAACAACTGCTTTAGGCCCTCTGAAAGGAAAGGGTGGTAAAGGAAAGGGTGGTCTGGCTTCAGGACAGGTTAGTACTTCTCAGATACTAAATCTGCTTGCTATGAAATATGCATATTGTTTCTCGTTTGAAAATCTTACCATCTCAGGTATAGTTTCTTGTATGAAATCTTTATCCAAGATAGAGTTTTCAAGCATTGTATTGAGTATCCATGGTTAGTCAAAGAACAAATAATGAAAGTTATTTGCTCTAAAACATGACACCATTAATCTGTTCAAGCTTAATTGTTAAGAACCTTGTATCTAGCAAAGGTGAAGAATTATAGCAAGAAAAAAACTTGACCTGGAGCGTTGTGCCACGGCAATCAAGATAGATGGGCTTCAGTTGAAGTCCCTTGTGTTTACCATATTTTGGTTGGCTTGCATAAGCTTATCATCTTTTCAGTAATTTTGTTTAATGCGTTGTGTTTCCAGGGAACGGATGCATTGCATGTCAATGAGGCTTTTGATTTGGCGACTTCATTTGCGTCAATGAAACTGGGATGAACTTGATGTTTGTGCTTTGTAGTTTTTTACTTCATGAAAACCTTTTTCCTGTTATACAAAAGAAAAAAAAAATACAACAGATTTGCGGTTAATTTCTTCTATTTTCTCATCTTTTGATTATATATTCATTGTCATACACAATGGAATGTTACAATGGACAGATGTATAAGGATCATCATAGAGTCTACTGTGAACCTTGTGTTTCTGTACTAATATTTGGGAACCCCATTCTGTATTTAAATATGCAAATGGCAGTTATTCTCCGGTGGAGTAAAGCGAGAATGAAGGAGATGATGGAAAAGAGGCGGGAAGTGGTGACAGCCCCAATCTGGTGACAGGAGAAGATGAGGGAGGAGAATCATTACCAATCTGATCTCTGTCTCTAGATCTGGAGATAGAATTTAAGGGTTCAACTGAAACGGAAGATGGAAAGGGCCGAAGGGGAGAGAAGATTGAGGTCGAAATGAGAGGGAAAGAATCAAATAATCTAAATTTAGATTCAGTGGTAGACTATAATCTAACGGTTCAAATACAATTAGTAAGAGTTAAAGATAATTACTATAAAAGTTCAGAGAAATCGGGACCTTTATTATTATTATTATTATTATTATTTTGGGGAACTGTTAAGTACATTATATTGTAAAAATCCCAAACTAGGTATTCATATTTATATACACAGGTATACCGAGGTTTACAACCTCAGTATTCTAACCAAAAAGCCAACAATAAAGCAACCCATAAATCAAGATATGCTTCGTTAAGCTCACAACACCCGTAGTGGATACTCTTTTGGCAAAAATTTTCGGATTTTTTGCATGCCATAGGTCGTAGAGAGCGGCAGCAAAGGCAACTTTGATTGTTATCCTCTTTGCAGTGACTCCTACAAATGCTCCTCAACCACAGGCACCCTTGACTCCACTGTAGGGAAGAACTAGTAATATCCAACTCCAGCACACTCAAAAAATTAAATGTTATTTCTCTTTCATTTTCCTGATAAAACACAAGCAGTATCGACCACAATCCCTCGCTGGCATGACAAAGGTTTTGTCGTTAGCCTATCCCTAACCATAAGCCGACTAATAAAAGCATGCCTTGTGATAGCATTACTAGACCACACCAGTTTATGCATTACACCTTCCTCGTCCTAAGGCACAAGAGTTTATATGCACTAGTAATGGAAAACTTCCCTGAAGTAGCAAAAAGCCAAGTAGCAGAATCTTTTCCTCCAACCACCTGAATTTCCTCCAATTCTTTTACCATGTCAAGCCATCTCCTTCTAAAGCTTTGTGGAAATCTCCAGCTTCCATTCACCCACTAATCAGCCGTACTCACAGTTTCCCCCCAAGAATTCTCCATGTCTATCCACCCTTCTCTATCATAGATTCTACTCTCCACAAACCACCAGTCAAAAGAATAGGGAGGTTTCTCTCCAATCACCCACCATCATTTAATGTGGCCCTCAAGAATCCACGCAGCTTCAATAGTTTCCTTCATGTCCAAGAACAATCAGCAGGAATCTTGACATTGCAAATATTCTGGCCTTTCAACAACACTAGTCGAACCAAGCAAACCAAATCCTCGTAGGATAAAGCAATGATGCACCATAGTAATTTCCCAATAGCAACTTGATTCCACAGCTTCAATTGTTTAACACCCGAACAGGACTCAATTTCTATAACACCTACGATTATGGCCTTTCCATAAGAAATTTCTATAACAGGACTCAATTTCCTTCACAACACTGCTAGGCCAAAAAGGACTAGAGCTCCAATACAGTTGCAAGTTAAATAAAACAGAGTTTATAACCTGGAGTCGTCCCGCAAATAACAAAAATTTATTAGACTAGGTATTTATCTTCTACTTCACTCTATCAACTATAGGCTTTCATTTATAATATGAATTTTCTAAGAAATTGTTCAAAATATTTGTAATGAATTTTTTTTACATGTTGATTTATTAAAGTTATTTTAATTATAATTTCTAATATTTTAATTATCATGTTTTATTAATATGGTCTGGGGATATAAAAAGAAGAGAGGGAGGGAGAAGTAATGAGAAAGGGAAATAAAAAAGGAAGAAAATAAAGGTAAAATTGTAATTTCATTTTATAATTTAACGCAATTGTGTAACAAAAATGGCCGTATTTTGTCGCGTGGAATTCATTTTTTCAGTTTTAGTGAACCCTTTAATTACATTTCATTTTTTTTTTTTGCAAATTCAACAATCTTGCATTTGTGTCCTTCATGAACCCTGGGTTACCCTCTATTAGGGCATTTGCCCATTTGCTTTTGTAGGCTCTATGAGTCATCAAGAGAATCTATAAAATATTTCATTCTAAAAGAAAAAGAAAATAAAAAGTCATAACTAGAAAATGAACTCACTTCATACCATACTCATGATAAAACATGAACAAAAAAATAAAATCACACAAGAAATTTCAAGTTGTTTGGCAATACAACAGCAACACTGATAATAATAATAATAATACTTACAAAATCATAGCAGATTAATAGTTTGTTCTCATTTAATGTAACAAAATTCTTTTCCATCCGACAATTATGTTATTCCAATTTATACAGGTACAATGTGAGCAGATATTACAACATTATTCTTGTTCCTACAAAATTATTTCTCGAATTCTCTCCCACCTTAAATAAACCGAAAAGAAAAGGAAAGTCTTGAGTTTTGACTAACCCACTTTAATTCAATCTCACACCGAGAAACAAAAACCGAAAAAATGCCAGAGGGGGTTTGAAGTCTGAATTTGCAGTAAATATCCGTGCTACCTGATTCACACAAACAGTGACACTGACAAACGTAGTTGTGATTCTAGACATAATTTATGACATGATAGCAACAACCAATTATCATAATATGATATATTTCATTATGCTTCACGTTACTCCAACAAGTATTTTTTTTAAGAAAAAAAAAACTATTTTATTGCTGTCAAGCATTTTAGATATCAAGAATACCTTTAGGGGAAGATTCTGCCAAATAAAATCCCGCTGAAGATAATAGCACCAAACCACTTGTTGGACACAAATCTGTAACCAAAAAGGGAACAATGATAGGGAATAGTGAGTCGACAGCTGAGTATATATGATGTTAAACAGTTACTTAAACCAAATTTATGCAAGCATGTGTACAAGAAGCATAAGATTGTTCTATGCACCATCTAACTCAGCATATTGACATCCTAAAATAAATGATGCAATCAAAATCTAGAAAAGTGTCATCAACCATATACTTACTTTCTATTGCAATCAGCTCGGCATGATAGGTTAACTGTCCATATCTGCCAAGCTAATTGCCCAGACGCAGCTGCCAGAAAAGCATAATATGGCCACCCTTTTCCACAAGAAACATGGTAATTCAATGAAAGGTTGGGTTACCAAATGCAAACTAAAAGTTAGCTCAAACTTTAAACAAGCCAAGTAAATACCAATTGCAGCATTGAATCCACTGAGGGCAAGACTACTTATACATCCAATTCCAAACGCACTAATCCACTCCTTTGTTGAATCCCCAAATCTCAAGGCTGTTGATTTAACACCGACTTTAAGATCATCTTCTTTATCCTGAATCCAAAATTATCAACATCACTATGAAATAGAAAAGAGAAAATTTGTTCCCTGATAATTGATACAAACAGTTATGTTGACATGCAATCCCAAACTTTAAATAATAATCCAACAATTCAAACAAGGTGGAAGCACAAGCAGCTTAAAGTTTGTATAAGAACACCACCTCAAGTGGGACATGAACCTAAGTCCTAATAGTTCCAGATTTTTGTGTTGCCCCTAAACCAAGGCTTCATTTGACAGAATACAGTTCTCTAATCCAGAAATACAACATTGCAAGGGAAGTAACTCCAAGCAAAGAGCAAAATATTAAGTGATTTAAAAACTATGAAATACAAATTGGTGTACCTGATGTGCATATATCGTATCATAGACAAGAGTCCAGCATACTCCAGAAAAGTATAGCGGGAACACAATAGCTGGGTCTAAACCTCCTTTAATTGCAGACCACCCTAATAAGGCTCCCCAATTGAAAGTCAGACCTAGATAAGCTTGAGGCTGCATCGAGTAGGTTTGTCAAAGAGAAATTATGAAATAAATATCAAGCTCATTCGACAACAAAAAATACATTAACACCATACCCAAAATGTAAACCTCTTCATTAGAGGATATGAGAAGACTAGCAACAAGGATGAAGCCCCCAAGATGCGGCTGTAAGACAGATTTAACCAAAACCAGCTAACTGAATATCAAGTCTTGTCCAAATGCAGCTATATTGACCAAATGCAGCTATATTGATTAATGTGAAGCAGATTTACGATGAAGAAACACAAGAGTATAAATACTATTATAAATAAAGAAGGAAGAATCATTTATATGTTATCCTTAGTATAGTACATTCTTAGGTTGCTGTTGTAGATGGTAAAATCGTCTAAACCATCTTAGTGAACTTGATAAATTTACTCTAGACAAGTAAAGATACAATTACAGCTGAGAAGAACAAAGTTTTAGAGATTGTTATCATAAATCTAACAATGGAAATTGAAAAATGTGTAGCCCAAGCCAGTTGTAATGGCAACTACAAACAAAGTAGTCATACAACTTCCTGTGAAATGTGCCTCAGCTCATTAGAGCGAGCTCATTATTTTGTAATCATGTTGCAGTCTCAACATCTGCTTCATCACCAACTAATTATATTTAATAACTAATTACTAATACCATGGGGAGAGTTTATGAATATACTACCTATTAGACAGGATTCATAAAAACTAATCGATGAGCTTTTTTGTTACAACACCATTAAGGAAAAACACAGTGCCCCATGTTATTTATGTATTGTAGTGCTTTTCGCTTCCTAGATAATTTACCATCTCCTGTTATGCAGTTTCTTTATGATGGGAAAAGAATATAGCATATTGAAACTTTTTTGCTGCAATATTTCAACAATAACTGATTAGTTGACAACTTCTAAAATAGAAATGGGGAAAGCTTATGCTTCCAAAATCTTTCCCACTTTTACCTTAATAAAGTCACTCAAGGAGAAAAGGCATCTATCTCTCTTAGTGACTGATATATTTTAAACTAACTGTTTTTATTTGGGGCCATACTTACATGATGACATGGTATCTAGCTTTTCTGATAATATGGTACCAAATGTTGTAAAAATTTGAGGGAGCAATGGTTTAAGACAGAGAATTGACACCAACCTATAATTATTCAGTTGAAGGAGAATTCCAAGACCCAAAAAAAGTTGAAACCCAAGAAAACAAATACCCTGAAATGGTGTCAGAAGGCCACTTGCAACTGGTCTCAGCTTTGTACGCTCCACCTGGATACAAACACTCACATGTAATTAATGTTTCATGCAATAGTTGAATCCACATGAGATCATGAGCTGCTGCACAGACTGAGGTAGGAAAATTAAAATTCCAATGTCTCTTCACTGGTTAGGTAAAAATATATAAAATCAGCAAATCCCAAAACTAAGGAATAAAATTTAATATGCTTCAGTATCAGGATACTTACATTATGTACCATTCTTAATACTAGTATTCAAGCATGAGAAAATTAAGTGCATCTTCTCTAGGAAGAGAATCTAAAAAATTCTACATATCTTCATTACATGCAGGAAGACAAACTCTTACGAAATTACAATTAACATTGCAAGCAAAAATCAAGCAGAATTACATTTACAGACTGCAAATAAACAATTTAAGTTACCTTTGTATCAATATCACGGTCAAGCAGATCATTGATAGTACACCCAGCACCCCTCAAAAGCAGTGCCCCACAACCAAAAAGCGTCAACATCTTAAAATCAGGAAGGTTTCCAGGGGATGCTGCCAAGGTGATTGACCTAGAGCAATAAGGTGTCAGAAAACTTAATAACGAAGAAGAATAATCTGATGATATATCATGTATATCATTATCCAATTATAGGAGGATCATATGTTTCCAACTCAAACTTTATCATCAGAAAAGAAATATTCACACATTCAACCTAGAGTAATGGAGAATATCCACTCAAATTTTCAAACCAGAATGCGAATCGTTATAAGGCAAAAGTTTATCTTCCCTTAAAAACAAGCAAATTAATGCATAGATAATGATTTCACTGTAACCTAGGTCCAGACCAAAAACCAGCAGAAATGATGAATAGCAAGGAAAAATCCAAGAAGCTTTCCAAAACTTATTTTACATAAATCAACTTTAACTAAAAAATATATATTAAAAATTAAACTCATTTCTCCATTTGCTTTCCATAGTTTCTTAGCAACTAAACAGAATATAACAAAATCAAACCCTTACCACATACAAGGCCAAGCAAGTAACCAAGTCCCAATGGGCTTATCAAGGCGAGCAAGCTTAGCATAAGGCTGAATACTGCTTGGTAAATACAAGTCGATCCATGAAGGAATGTTGACAGTATTTCCATCATTGCCATTATTCTGATTTTCACCTTTCCTTGGGTTGTCAGCTAATCCTGATGGTGATGTTGATATCCAAGCAACTGAAAGTCTGTAATTTGAAAAAGGTACACACTTCTCCTGGGAAAATTTAAAACTACCTCGAGTAAATCCATAACATTGAAACCAATGGGAAACTTGAATGAATTGGTTGTCAAGTCCTGGACTCTTGGCTGTTGTTGTTGATGATGACAATAATGCTGCTGAGTGAGAAAGAGAGACCACAGAGGATGAAGAAGTGATAGATGGGTTTAGGAGCCTGCGTGAGGTGCGAATGAGCCAATATGCTGCCATTTAGTGCCTGTTTTCTGTGGTGCACTACAGAAATGAAGCGAAAAAGAGACAACCATAATATTCATACATAAAACTGATCACACAAATGACAATGTGCAAGCAAAAGACAATTCTAACAGCATGCAGCTAAACATTAGTCTGACTATCAGAAAACAATATAATAATCCCAACTCCACAGACAGTAGGCATCAACAACACTACAAATAGTTGACTAACTCAACCATGCACACCAAAACAATCTACAGAAGTTGACTTGTAGCACCCAGACGGCCAACTAGAGAAGACTAGCTCAGTCCCTTGTGTGGTAATTGATAGTTAAAATATAATATTCTAACTTAAAGTTTCACTTTGAAAAATTGCAGAAAGTGAATAAAGATTGTTCATTCATTAAGAAAATACTTAAGACCCATAGGTAAGTGTCAAGTAAAATGTAGTTTACCAAATTCAATGTCTCAAAAAGGAAAACTCCATTTCCAAATAAATCAATGTAAAACATTTTTTCCTCATCAATTATATCTTACAAAGGTTCAATAACTATTGTAATCATCACTAGTCTAAGAGGCAAGTGATAGATACCGGGGTTCTTTATTAACCAACAAGAGGACCCCTTTTTTTTCAGTTAAGCTACAATAACATTTACTTTCCATTGACAAGAAAATAATACGCACAACCAATTCCCTTGCGCATTTCATCAAACACTAGGTGCGCATAGGAAAGCTTTAGGTGTATCTAACACCACAAACCCAAAACACGATCCAATCACATAGAAAACAATACAAACCTCCAATGGAAGTCGGAAAAAGAGTACTCGCGTGAGCCTTGCTCTGCCCGACAAGTGTGTTGCGTTGTCTTTCAATGAACTCTGAAGCTGAGATCGTGTCTGCATTCAGGTTCCAATAATTCCTTGTTTTCGTTTTCCGAAGAGAGAGAGAACGAGCTAGAATGCTAGCAATTCCATTTTCCAATTCAACTTCAATTTCAATTTCGGATGCTATGCTGAAATTTATTAGATTATGGCCGAAGCCGGAGAGACAATGGTGAAAATTAAAGAGAAAAAGAGTAAATGTCAGAATTATGTTCCCAATCTTTACAAATACTAAATATTGTCCAAAACTTTTATTTGCACTAAAAATGGTCCCAGACCTTTTTAAAATTGTAGAGCTTAATCATGCTGTTAATCATTTTTGTTTAATCCTTAATGAAAATCCTTTTTAAAATTTTGAAAAACTACCAAAACTCAATAAGAAAAAAATTTTGAAAAAAAAACTGCCAAACCACCCTTTTTTTTAATGCCAAACATATACTCCTTGTCTAACTTTATTAGACTTAATTTTTAATTTAGAGTGTTCAAATTTAATTGTGTTTTTTTTTCTTTTTAAAATATCATTTAATGCATTTATTTTTATTTTATTCTACTTTTAAAAAGATAATTACGATATAAATTAAATAAGAAAACTTATTTAAATAGTGATTAATTAAGGATAAATATAAAATTTAATTAATTAATTATTATATTTATATTTTATTAAAAAAAAACTAAATCCACTTAAGTTAAACAAAAGGAGTATTTCATTTTTTTAACATCATTAAATACTGTTTTTTTTTTCATTTGAGAAACTCCAAATATTATGTTTCACTTTTTTTTTCCTTTTACATAATGCAAATTCCTTACTTGAATCCTAAAAACTTTTGACATAACTTAATAATTTAATAATATAATGAATTTTTTAGCTTAAATATTTTTAATTGCAATTTGTTTGTCATCTAACTTATTGGTTTCTAAAATACATAAAAAAAATAAAAATAAAAATTCATTTTAAATTATAGAGTTACAATCCATAACATATATATAAACAGTTATTTACAAAGCAAAAAAAAAAAAATCCCAAACATTTTCCAATAAAAAAATGAGTTAAGGTGTTAAAAAAATTCAAAACTTAGTAAAATAATTTTAGGACAATGAAAAAAAAAAGAAAAATAAAAATTTTGTAAAAATTTTTATTGAACTTCCCAAAATTCCTATTAAGATTTTTGTTAGAACTTAATGATATGTTTGGGTTTAGGAGAATGAAGGGCAGAGAAGAGGAGAGAGGAAAGATTTTTTGATTAATCAAATTATAATATTTAAAAATGTTGCAATTTAATTAATTAAAAAAATCTCCCCTCCCTTCTACTCAACCCAAACATACTATAAAAGAACTAACTAACCTCATAGGATTAAGTTTGGTAATTCGAAAAGGTCCCCTCCCCTCTTCTCACAATCCAAACATACTA